GATTTAGAAAATGTGGAAATGGAGCTATTGGAATTTCAAGAAAGCGCTATCTGGAAAAATAAATTCTATGACCTGTGTGAAACACTTCAGAAGATGGAAGGATTGCTTTCCTTACTTTGTTTGGATCATCTTATGCTTGTGAGCAGCTGTTTACAGCTTTGAATTATATCAAATCTGACACTAGAAACAGACTAACAGATAAAAAATCACATTAATTGTTCAAAAGCATGCCAAATGCAAACTTTTACCTTTCAATAAAAAGTTGTTTGTATAATTGAAAGTTCTGTTATTGTGTTTTTCTTTTAAGACAAAAGATGTTAATGTATGAGTTATTTTTTCTAAACTACAACCTCAGTATTCAGGTTAAATTGCCCATGTTGGCACTTTGCGATAAACAAGTGGGTTTTGGGTTGCAGTTTGGGCACTTGGGTCTCTAAAAGGTTCGCCATCACTGCACAAGGCAAGGCTGCTGCATTACTACTCTGCCAAAGAAAGGACTGTGCCCCTATTTCTCCGTAATTTAATTAGGAATTACCTGCCAAAGTTGCATGTTACTGTCTGCCGGCCCTCCCCCGTTTAGAAGACTTCGGTTTTGTTTCCTGAGGTCTCTAAAAGGTTCGCCATCACTGCACAAGGCAAGGCTGCTGCATTACTACTCTGCCAAAGAAAGGACTGTGCCCCTATTCCTCCGTAATTTAATTAGGAATTACCTGCCAAAGTTGCATGTTACTGTCTGCCGGCCCTCCCCCGTTTAGAAGACTTCGGTTTTGTTTCCTGATTTGGAAATTTCCCCGGGACCTTGAGCTGCCCCTCCCCTTCTTGTCTAGTTGGGTAACTCACCTGGTCAACCTCACTACCCCTCCCCTTGTTTGAACCTTGGAAACAAACCCATTTCGTATTTTTTTATCCACTCCCCTTGCCTTCTTAACTAGAGGCATTGTCAGCCTCAACATTTGTTTATTTAGCACATTTATATTTCATCTGTCCAAACATATGCTCAAGGCCAGGAACAGGAAGAAAAGAAACACAGGAATAAATAGTACAGATCAGAAACCCTAATCTAAGAAAGCGATGAAAAATAATTAAATAAAATGAATCTTCCAACAATAAAATTACCTGAGTACAACACAAAACGGTCTTGAACCCAAAAACAGGGCAGAAAAACATCCACTTATGGGTAAAATAGCCCAGGACCAATAATATGAGAAAGGATGGAATTAGGGTTGCTGGCTTCCCCCTGGCGACACTGGAGGAAGATGGAGGTGTAGGGTTGCAATATCCAGTCTGGGAAACTCCTGGAGATTTGGAGCTGGAACGTGAGGACAGGGACCTCAGTGGGTACAATGACACAGAGTCCACCCGCCAAAGCATCCGTTTTCTCCAGGGGAACTGATCTCTGTAGTCTGGAGATGAGGTGTAATTCCAGGGAATCTCCAGGCCCCATCTGAAGGCTGACATCCCTAAACCGAATATAGTTTTAGCTTGAAGCTTGGATGTTTTGGCCTGGGTCTAAATGTTATCAGATTATATGCTGGGCAGGCTTCAACTAATCTGGATGCCACCACTGAGAAGGTTCTATCCCTTGCTGCCCGATATTTCTGTTCCCTAAGGTAATTGATCTTCACTGCTGAACCAGTTTTACCATCTGGAAATTTCTTCTAATTTGTATACATCAACTATATAGACTGTAGTGCTCTTTTAATAAGATGATTGGTACACAGTGGTATGAGCTGTGGATCATACAAGGTGCTGTAAGATTTGCAGTTGCATTTACGGCTGTCAGTAAATGGTGCAAGTTGCTGTGGAGAATAGATTCCTGAGGACTGAAGAGCTCTTTCAGATACACCCAATTAGTTTCATGCCTCCAGTGGGGTTTTCCCCCCATTTCAGAAACCTGCTGCACGTATTATTATATTTAAAACTCTGTTAGTTCAAAAGGCTTGCCATTTGGTATGGGGGGGCGGGGGCGGAATAGGCTGCTGTTTGAGAAACACAAGCCTTTTGGGCACATGCAGCTATTGCTTGAATGTAGCCTAGGGTACAATGTAAAATGCATGTGTTGTGTTATCATATGAGTTAACATAGGCTTATCAACGTATAAAAATAAGGTATATTAACTTTTTATTGAATGAGATTAAAGCAAATTCTTATAGATGCATATTTTTTCCCTCCTTGCAGTGGGGTATGCTCCATTTCTTTCTCTGACCAGTCGAGGCTTTGAGGGTACATCTCAGAATGCTGAGAATGACCTTCCGGGGCCAGGACACTATGACGTTGTCAAAGAACAGGTAAAATTATGCCAGATCTAATAAACGTTTGGTAACAAATGTAATGTGACTTCACTGTAAAATAGGGTTGCCAAGTCCAGTTCTCTTACTGGCTGGGGAGCGTCGCCGGGGTCCGGGAGCTGTTGTCCGATGTGCGCGCACGCGCCGCCAGCACGTCACCAGAAGTGACGTGCGACGTCAATCACGTTTAAGGCGTGGCCCCGAGTTTTCCCTCCGACGATCGGGGCCACACCCCCAACATGATTGATGTGGTTGCGTCACCTCTGGTGATGCAGCCACGATGCACTTTGGGGGCCGGAGTTCCCCCCGGGGCCCGATTCCGCAGCGGCGGAAATTGGGCCTCCGAAGCGGGGGTTTACTCGCCACCCGCCCCCACTTGGCAGCCCTACTGTAAAATCAATACGTGATGTTACAGAATGGTGGTGGAAAGTGCTGTCAACTCACAGCTGATTTACAGCAACCCTGTAGGGTTTTCAAGTCACAAAATGTTTGGAGGTGGTTTGCTATTGCCTGCCTCTGTGTAACAACTCTGGACCTCCTTGGTGGTCTCCCATCCGAGGCCTGACCGGGCCTGATGCTGCCTGGCATTCGAAATCTGATGAGGGCAGGCTAGCCTGGTCCATCGAGGTCATAAAAGAATCAAGATGGGTAGCTGTGTTGGTCTGTCTGTAGGAGTAGAAAAGAGCAAGAGTCCAGTAGCACCTTAAAGACTAACAAAATCTTTGGCAGGGTTTGAGCTTTCATGAGTCACTGCTGACTTTCTTCATGGTATCTGAAAGAAGTGAGCAGTGACTCACGAAAGCTCGTACCCTGCCAAGTATTTTTGTTAGTCTTTAAGGTGCTACTGAACTCTTGCACTTAACCAAAGAATGTAAGGAGATTGCTACATGAGAATCTTTTTGGCACTGTTGAAGGATTTCTGTTGTGCACTCAGATGGAGATGGAGCTGTAACTGTGGTTCTGCCCCACATTTAGTACAGCACAGTACCCAGCCATGCAGAGTGTTATGGTTTACACCATTTTCCCTGGCTGGATCTGAAGTTTTTCCTCTCAGCCGTCTGTCAACGCATACTCATTTCCAGGGCTCTTTTTGTAGAAAAAGCCCAGCAGGAACTCATTAGCATAATAGGCCACACCCTTGACAGTACAACTCATTAGCATATTAGGCCACACCCCATGTTACCAGAGGTGTGCTCATCCAGCCACACCCACCTTTTGCTTCTTATTCTGTTTACTTTGTTGTCAAAACCCAGGGCTTTTTTTGTAGCAGGAACTCCTTTGCACATTAGGCCACACACCACTAATGTAGCCAATCCTAATGAGTTTCTGCTGTTGGGTGTGACCTATTATGCTAATGAGTTCCTGCTGGGTGTGGCCAACTTGGGAGCCAGCCGGAACTCAGTTCCTGTGCGTTCCTGCCCAAAAATAGCCCTGCTCATTTCCTGATCTCGTTAGCTTCACCTTGCATCCTGAGAGAGGTACATACACCAGCATACCTGCTTACTCTGGCCTTCGTCCTTCCATTGGGGCAAGGTCCAGGCTCTACATTTTTGGACTACGGGGCTGCCAGCAGCTAGCTGAAGCAGGCATCAGATTTTGCCTCCTTTTTCGGATTCAGCCGATCTCTTATTCAGTAGTCTGATCCAGTCTCCAGCAAGGTGTATGAGTATAGATAATTTCCCCTGCCTGTACCTATGTATTATTTTTAATCTGTTTTTTTTCTTCTTCACAGTCTTACCATTTGGTCTTTTTCAAAATTGATCTGTCAGGAGTGTAGTCTCACTTTGGTGCTATAGCATAAGTGAAAATAAAAGCAAATCTGTGCTTCCCTCTTCCCTTACTTTGTAGAGGCCTTTTAATTGTTTGTTCATTTTGTTTCCTTTTTTTATTTCTGATACCAGCTGTTTCATATACAGTATGTGAAGAGG